ATTGTTACAGGTGTTCAAGAAAAAAGTGTTTTTAAATTAAATATTACACTTTTAAGATTTATTGATAATCTTTTAAACAGAAAAAAATGTGATTTTGACAAAATAAAAACGAGTGAATTATTAATCTTTCAGGGCTGGAAACTTTCTTTAGGTCTGAAGCATCTTTAAAAATCACTATCATAAATGGATTGATTTTTTTTTTCAAGCACACCATAAGGAAAGTGAGTGCTCACTCAGTCAGCAGCAAGGAAAAAATAAAATGTAAAGGAGCAGCGAGAGGGAGCAAATGGATTGCACGTGTATCTAAGCGCAACTCTCAAATTATCGACAAATGCGTTGCAATTTGTCGGAATTCCGACACGTGTTGGTGCAGACGTGCGCCATTTAGTCCAGTTAGTATTCCGGGGTGCACTTTATTTATTTGCATTATTTTCAATGTCATTTGCCGGCGGTGCAGAGGGCGGCGACCTAAGTGGTAAAAAGCCCTTGGGTTATGTATGAGCGCGGAGAGAGAGAGGTGGCGTCGGGGTTGCCGAGATTGATTGAAGATCCTGCAGAAATAAAGAGTGGCTCTCGCCCCTTTACACGCCCGCCTTATGTCTCTCATTTATCACACTTAGTACTTAAATGGGTCAAAGTGACGGAGTGGCATTCAGAAAAGCATCGCGCCAGACGAATTCAATCTGTGTGTATGAGTGATTCACACCCCTCATCAGCAGCAGGAGCAGCGCAGTCGGTGATCAATTCGGAATTGAAAGCTGCCGCGCCGACTGACAAAAGAGTGTGAGAAATGATGTGATTAATTCGTGTTGATCCGAATTAGCTATTCAGTAGCTGCGTTTTTCAAGATGGGGGAGCGGAGATGAGGCGAAATGATCAAGTGGAGGAATAATAAAATTTCACTGCAGCAGAGAAATTTTGTCTTTCCCTAAATATGATTAATCATTCTCAGGCTGTGAAAAAGTCGTCTTAATTTAATTTGCTCCGAAATTCATCCTGGCAACGGATCTGAGCAAATTGTGTCATTCTGATTCAAGATGTTATATGAAATTTAACGAGACTTAATTTCTATTATTACATTCTAATTATTATTAAAAAAATAGATTTATATTTATTATTATTATTAAAAATCAATGATAATAATAATAATAGTAATCTTATTAATATTACTATTATCATTATTCTTGTTGTTGTTGTTTATTTTTCACAAATCAAGTCAAACTGACTGAAAATTACAAAATGTGAAGAAACAACAAGTAAAGTTAAATTATAATTAAATAATTTTATTTTTATTTTTTCATTATTTGAAATATCTAGAGCATTTTCAAGTTGACTTTTGAGGAATGCTTTTATCCAATATAATTAATAATTATCTATATTAATATAATTTTATTTTAAATATGAATAAAAAAAAATTAAAAAAAAAAAAATCGATTTTAAAATGACAATGATATGGAGTAAAGTTTTTTTAGATGAGTTTACAGATGATTTTCACAATTAACTAGAACTGTACAAAGTAAAATATTCAAAAATATTGACGATGCTAATTTTTTTTCATACATGACTCTATTGAAGATAATTTTGATACCCAACGTTAGTAGTTGCTTCAAATTCTAACCAATATCGCAACATCGGTTTCTGTTCTTCACGCTCTCTGCAGGACCAAATTCTCCAGTTTCGCGTGAAAGCAGCAACAAAAGGAGATTAGGAAGTCGTGTCCGTAGCACGTAGACCAAAACCTGTACAATGGCCAACGCACACAATGGCATCGTCACCGATATATCCTAAATCAATTAATTAGCCATAACGGGCCGGTGAGGGTGCAAATCTCGTGCTGTGATCAGCTTTTGATTGCGGCCGGCCCGCCCGTGTGTAGCTTCGATACACGTGTATATATAATTGATGCACAAATTACACGCAGGCTAGGGTAGGTTGGCGAGGAGGGCTGCGGATGGATAGATTAGGCACACACACGCCCCTAACGGCCGCGCCGATTTTGTGACGTGACAGCCATTGAATTAAACATAATGCAGCTGCCGTAGTGAAAATCGCTATTTTGATTAAAGCAATCTGCACCACCGTCGAAGCCCCTGATTGACGGCTTGATCCCCTGGCCGCAGCCCCGCAACATGAATATTTCACCCTGCGCGCGCGTTTCCTACAAAGGTGCGAACGCCTCTGATAATTATTGCGTCGGTTAATCCACGTGACTAGTGTCTCTGTTTGTCGCTAAGATAGGGTGCGCCAAACATTCGAGCCAGGGAATTTAAAAGCGATTAATCACAATGAATTGGGCTTTAATGATGCGTCGTCAAGCCCCGGTTATTTTAATACAACTGAATGATGGCACAATTGTGTTCAAAAGAGAGTAATTATTGTGTCTATTGGTGAGCTTTGTTTGTCACACAAATAGGCCAAAATTGGACGAAATGTTATCAAAAATTCCAATTTAGTACCAAAATATTGTAATTTTAATTAATTTTAAAAATTTGTTTCAAGAAGTTGACACTCAAGGAGATTATCATGGAAATGAAGAGATCGGTCTTTTCGTTGTTGGAAAATTGTTTTTATTAAATAATTTAGCTAAATTTAACTGATTTTTTCGTGTTTTACTTGCTCATGTAATAAAATTAAAAATTGTTTTTGAATATAAACAATTATTCAATGAGGAAAAGCCCGATATCTTCATTTCCAATTTTAAAATTCACATTTTTTCTTCAAATTTTATGCAGAGTGCTTTTCAATGTTTGTATTTTTATTAAGAAAAAAAGATTAGTTTTGAATCATTATTGAAAATTATTATCTTAATTTAAGTCAAAATTTCGGTATGTATTCCATTCTTTAAAGCGAAGTTTTTCTCGCTAGTTACAGTAAAACCACCTAAGAACCTCTTACAAATATATATTTTTTCGTTAATTTAATTTTTTATTTGCAATCATGTCACTGCGAAATTATAAAAAATTCAATGTTTTGCATAAAATAATACTCCTTTTATCCAGATAGTTTTCTGCAACCCCCACAGCAATTGCAAACACAAAAATCATTAAGAGAGATTTATGAAAACCAAGTTTATTTAACACCCAAAATTAATTTCCTAAGCTGTGAACTTAAATAAAAGTGTAATTTTTTTCCTATTATTTCCTATTATTTTATTTTTAATAAAATTTAATGATTTCCTGATTTTAGTTCTCTCCATGTGTCTATCTGTCATTGAAAGCCACCACATAGCTCTAATTTATCGGCCGTAGTTAGTTTTCGCCTTGGTGCACAATTGAGATTTTCGATCAGCAAGTGAATACACAGAGCATTTGATTAATCACCGCTATGGAACTTTATTCAATTGACGTTCCACAATTCCATTAATGGACAGCCTAGCTCTCTCTGGTGCGCCCGCTGCCGACCTCACGGGCCATTTATAATTCAGTTTGCTGCATAAATAACAATAACTTTGGCGGCAATCCAGCTGGAAACGCCGCGAGAGAGTTTATATTTATTTCCGCCAACACTCTAGTTCACATTTGAATATTGCAAAAACATATCGATGAATAAATCTGTTGATGCCTTCCGCGTCCTGATGCAATAAAAGTGATGTGCAAATATAAAAATAGAAAGAAACTTCCTTCCTCGCGTGCATCTCTTTCGAATTATTTCCAATGTATGAATGAAATGTGTGTTGAGTGCTGGTGTAACAGCTCGTCGACCGCCACTGACGTATTTATTGCTGCAGAGTGTTGAATAACCGGCGCCGCCACTTTATCATAAGACAATAACTCACACGGAATCAATTTTGCATGCCGATGGCCTCTTGCCCTTTTCTATCTATTTCTTTTTTGCCTCTGCTCGGCGGCTGCTCCTTTTCAATATTCTCCATATAATCCCGACGGCAAATATTTGAGATGAATTTCTCACAAATCATACCGCTCACTTGTTCAATGTGTAGCTCTTTGCCGACCGGTCGGCGCTGCTCGGAAAAAGGAGAGTTATGAAAATATCAAATTTTGCAAATGGCTCGGATAAAAATGCGGAGACGGGTTTTCCTCATCTTTTGCTTGATGTGAGCTGGAGGTCTCAAAGAGAGAAAGGCCGTGTGTGTTTTGAGAAAAACGTATAAAGCACAGAAGATATGCATTTGCCTCTCTCAGAGGGAAAGATTTCATATCGCGCACTGCTTTTTGAACTTACTTGTTGAGCATACAGAGAGAAGGTTCTATTTAATCAAATGCGAAAGCAGACGAGGAACAAAATTACCAACTCTTGGAATAGTCTGTTTTTCCTGGATATTTTTTTTATTAAATGATAAACTGTTATATTACAAATAAAATTGATATCAAATTGAATGCGAATATTTAAATACTTTTCACTTTTAACTTTTATTATGAATGATAATGACTAATTACATGTACAATAAAGTTTCAACTTTACAATCAAGAAGGAATATGGAAGAGTCATTTTTGTTTGGAATATGAATCTAAAATTTTGATTCAATTTTGGAAAGAAAATTTAATGTATTAATATTTTTAATCGTAAAAAATTGTTTGATATAATTTAAAATATTATTAAAAAAGAAACAATTCAACATAAAACCTTAATCATTTAAAATAATTTTTTAAATATTCATACAAATAGAGTCCTTCAATTTTAACATTTTATTGTTATTTTATTTTACATAAAAAAAAATTAAAAATTAAATTATAATTAAGCTGTAAAACATAGCATTCTTTATAATTGTCAATAAATTTTGTTATCGCTACTTTATTTTTACCATTATTATAGCCTTTGATGAAAGTAAGATATCTTAATGGCACTTTTACAAAGAAATGTCAAATTTGCACTTGCCGAATCTCGCATCTCCAATAATATACGTCAGCCGTTAGCACACCTTTATCGTCACGCATCTCCACCGCCACTCGTCGGCCCGTCTCGCTCTCTGTGTTCCTCGGCGGAGAAGAGCGAACGAGTTTATTTTTGGCTTATAGCGATCGGCTCGGCCACGTGCTATTCTTCACAAGTTCACATTCCGGCGGAGGAGCATCAAGTGAGCACTTTTCGTCTGACAATAGAAGTGTCCGTCCGCAATTCTCCGCACCGCTTCACGAATCATGGAGCGGTCCTTCTTGATGGTGAAGCCCGACGGCGTCCAGCGTGGTCAGGTCGGCGAAATCATCCGCCGCTTCGAGGCCAAGGGATTCAAGCTGGTCGCCATGAAGTTCGTGTGGGCTTCCGAGGACCTGCTCAAACAACACTACGCCGACCTCTCGTCCAAGCCCTTCTTCCCAGGGCTCGTCTCCTACATGGCTTCAGGGTATAAAAATTTAAATTTAAACTCGATTCAAAGCTCCTAAGATTTTAATTCAAATAACCACATCTTGAAAATGATCTATTTACTTAATTTTAAAATTAATTTAATTTAATTCTTAATTGTTTTCATCGAATTTCAAACTTTTTCAAGGTTTCGACCCAAAATAAAATCTCGCAGATTGAAATTTAAAAATAGAAATTCGTTTGGAACGCGGCCAGTTTTATAGCTTCATGTTTGCAATTTGAGCTTGTTGAATATAATTTTGGTGGCAATGAATATGATTTTGATTGGTCGGATGAAATCTTTCGCTTGATTAAACCGATTAAACCCTCACCAGGCCTGTGGTCCCGATGGTGTGGGAGGGATTGGACGTGGTCAAGACCGGCCGCGTGATGCTGGGCGCCACCAACCCTAAGGATTCCGCCCCCGGCACCATCAGGGGCGATCTTTGCATCGACGTCGGCCGCAACATAATCCACGGATCAGACTCCGTCGAGTCCGCCAACAAGGAAATCGCCTTGTGGTTCAAGCCCGAGGAGATCTTCCAGTGGCAGTCCGCCTGCCACGCCTGGATCTACGAGTAGATCCGCTCGCCATTTATTGTGCAAATTTTCCTCAAACGACCAACGGGTATATCAAAATAAAGCTTCGACAAAGGACTTGACGCCAAAACATAATATACTGAATTGATTTATGTTTTACCCTGGGGATGCGAAACAGAAGCCTAGCTTATTGTCTTAATTGTATACAATGTAAAAAAAAAAAATAGTGGAAATTTGAATCCGCCGGGCAAAATTCGTTACAAAGAAAAAAATATAGAAACAAGAAAAATAAAGGACAATTTTTTTTTTTTTTTTTAATATTTTTCAATATGCAAAAATAAAGCTAGTTTTGCAACTTTTTTAATTATTAAATGTGAATATTTGAATTTAAAATTTAAACAATTTTGACGATTCATGGTGATTTGAATTTAAAATTGGCTTTTCCTCGATGGGTTTTGTGAGTTGTTTAAGAAAAGAAAAGAAAAGGATATTTTGTTTTTTTCTTAAACAATGCACAATCACAAAACCCAGTGAGGAAAAACCGACTTTAAATTTAAATCACGATTAAAAATAGTTGAAAGGATAACATTTTTTTGGAAAAGGGTGAAACGCGTAAATCTAAAAAATGGAACCAAATATTACCGTCAAAATAATAATTAAATATAATTTTTACTCTCTAGAATTTTCTTTAATTTCCTTTGCTTGCCGAATATCAAGTCAATGAAATAAAATTAAAATGAGTATGTTAATTGTGGCAAAATTTACTTGATATGCTAAAAAATAATTAGAATTGATATTTCTGAATATTATTGGTATATTTTTTGTAGCTAAAAAGCTCCTGATGAATTCAATTTTGAACTTTGCTAAATTTGAGATTAAAAACCAACCGAATTATGATATGAATTGAAAGTAAAAAATAAATCAGCCCGCAATTCAATTGGATTTTTTTTATTTTACACGGAAGAGGAAATGCGGCAATCAATTAGAGCCGCGATTTGATGTGAAAATTTTTCAGTAATTAGAGAATCTATACGCAAAATACGTATTTATTTTTGCTTTGAAGTGGAAACACGTTTTTGAATAAGCGGAAAATGAAAAGCATTTCCCGAAAGGGGGAAAGAGGAGAGTAACGGCAGCGTTTCCGCGGTCACATAAAACGCTTTGATTCATTGTGATTTATTCGCAGCCATCGCCAAGTACGAGCTCGGCGGTGACGCCGGCAAAAGAGCGAGAAAAAACAGCAGTATAAATATATCGTTTGGTGCCGAGAGAAATAGAGAGAGGGTTTTCGGTCTCTCTCATATCTTTGCAGCTTGTGCAAAAAGCAGCGGAGAGCTTATTTATACAATTTATTGTGCGCGAGAGAAAGAAAGGAAGGGTTTTGCAATTTCAATTCGCCATGAATCATATCTGCGCGGGGCGGAATTTATAAATGAAAAACGCTCCGCACACCCCTGCTGCGTTTGCAAAGGCTACAAAGTAAAGCCTTTAATAACAATTATTTCCCTCTCGGCCGCCGGAGATCTGCTGCTATTTCTTTCTGCAAAGGGGAGCCATTCATCGGACCAAGTTAAAGGCGGCGAACTTTTGCCGCCGCCGCCACCGAGGTGACGATGAATGTGGTGCTGTTCTTTCAGCCGGACACGGGACATTTGGTCGCGCTTGTTTAAATTATGGTCTACATTTGTAGCAAAAGCGAAAGGGCGTGCACGAGATTTATCGTGCTAAGCCGTTGTTTCACTTTCTGCGGCGATACTCACAAACACACACACACCCTGCAGACAAATAAATAAATTAACAAGACGCTTTCGGAATGTATAAGGAAGGGCTTAAGGAGGAAACGACCAGCACGTGATGTCGCGTCAGTGTGTGGTCAAAATAATATGGACCATTTTGTCCACACTTGCAATTAGGATTTCGGGGATTAATTTGGAGTTTATTCTAATAAAAATCATTAAGTTGCAAGTTTAATTAATTATCTGATCAATAAAAGTGACTTATTTTCAAATAAGTGTTGTTGCTTCTGTTAAAATGAGACACTTTCATCATATCTTCCTATATATTAAGCTGAAGAAATGAGAGAAGTTCTAAAAAGTAGGAATTTGAATTAAAATCAACAGCATACAATACCCATATTACATGGTCTAAGCATATTTCCATATATAGAATAATAAGTCATGATCGCTTTGATAATTTATTCTTCTTTATTACAATATTTCTACTTAAAATAAAATTAATTTGTTGTTAAGTTGTAAAAAATTTAACTGATGGATATAAAAATAATGTCTTATTTATTTAAAAAATTAAACAAATATAAAAAAATTACAATTAAAATAATTTTATATAAAAATAAAACGACTTTAAACTGTAAATTGAATTAATTATTTATTCAAGTTAGTAATAGATATTAATAGTTACTGAGTAAAAATAATGTAGATAAAAAATAAAAAATATTATATGAAAGGGAAACTTTGAATTGTTGGAAGTTGGAATAGATCACCATCATAAACCCAAATAAATGATTTAAAAAAAAAAATGGGTGGTGCCTTCTGCACCACTAATAAAGGGCACAGGCCGACAAGACTTTGTCTTGGCCTGACCCTATAAAAAAAAAATCACTAGCAAATTTTCAAGATTAATACACAGTAATTAAAATGTTTGAAAAAATGGCACAATAAACTGAAGAAAAACGTTTCAATGGTCTTGGTCACAAAGGTTTACAAAAACAAAATCAGTAAAGTTAAATTAAAAATTGAACGAAAACTTAAATTCATTATTATCCAATCATGTCAAGTGTTGCATGCATCAAGTTTATACAGTAAATTAACTCTATAAAGTTTTTGATTAATTTAATCATCTCCTGCCTGTTGATTTCCTTGAAACATGTAACTTCATAGTGTGCATTTTAACATATGGCACACTAAAACAAGGCAAATCCTTGTCCAGATAGTATCGCAGCCCCTTATTAGGAATTCCCTAGCAGCTTTGCAGAGGCTCAGAATAAACTGTTGTGCGCGGCCTAAAGAGCATACTCGAGCAAACGAGCCCTGTAAAAGGTCCTCAATTAAAACCGGCGAGTATTATAGCCGCGGATTAAAGCCACTTTCATAATATAGCACATACGCAAAATAATAATAATAATAAACGAGAGAGAGAGAGTCAGTCGAGGGGGTAGGTGTGTGTTTTCATGCAGACCCAACTTAATAAGCCTCAAGGCGGGCAAAACCGAAAAGATTAAGCTTGGCACAGCAGCAGAGAGAGAAAATGAACATGCTGGGAATTACGATTGGGTCGCAGCAGTGCCGAATCAATATGGCAAAAGTGAGGTCCGGCCGGCCGAAGGGAAAAAAGCTGCTTCATATTTCACATTATGCGAGCACGCCAGTGGAAAATACGGTCGCTGCTCTCTTGATTAAAAAATGTTCACTTGACGTGCAGAATGTCTGTCTGTCGCGCGTTATTTTCCGCCACATAGCGGCGGGCCAATTTAATGGGCAAACTGTGCCAACAGGCCCGCCGGATATTGGAAACGCCGAAATATTCGCTCTCTCGTATATTTGCAGATTATCTCCGAGGCCTGTGTCGTTTAATGAATGGAACGCGCAGACCTCTATCATGTTGGAAAACAACTTTTTATATTCGTACATGGAAAAGGAAGAAATCAAGCTTTCCCATCGCTCGCAGCGACTTTCAATCGAATCAGCACTTCTGCAGCACGAAAAAAAAGTGGACTGCGAAATTAAACATCACAGCGGGTGATTTATTAGTACCGATAAAAATTGGATTTATAGGGTGGAATTGACGATGTGGGAAACGCAATTTTCTATAACAAGCCACCTCAAAGGTTATTAATTAAAACAAAAATCATGCAACTTTAACATTTAAATACTTAATAACATTATTATTAAAATTATATAAAAATAATTTCAAATTTAAATGTATTAAATTGTTTATTTTATTTTATTCTGCATATTTACATTATTTATTTATTTGCCATGTAAATTTAATAATTTCCATTTTGTTAATCGTTTGCAGCTTTCAATTTTTTTGCTTTTTAAATTCTCTTTATAAACTTCAAATCAACATTAAGTAATAATTTTTAAGAGAGAATCTTAATTCCAACCTACTTTCATAGTTCCTACTATTTGTATAATTATGCTATTTGAAAACTTTAATCCTCGTTCTATTATTTATAATGCTGTACTAAATGAAGTTCTCAAAGCTCTTGAAGCCACCTGACAAATTAATCACATTAATTTGTCAATAAATACAAACTAATTCATTTTTTAATATTAAAATAAAAAAAAATCACCATTAGTAGAACGCAGTTCACAGGTGAATAAAAACCTTTTACCGAAATTATAGTTATCTAGTTTCAAAAGCCTTCATTTTATTTGATTTTATGCTGTTACTCAAATTTGATATAGAAACTCCTTTTTGTCAAAGAGAAGCAACCAGCGTGACCGAGCAGATGCCTGACACAAAGAGAGGAAAATCCAATCCGAACGCGTGTTTCGCGAGACGAGAGATTTATAATCGATTAGTTCCTCGGCCGCAGATGCTTTGCATCTCAGCATTGAGCTCGACGTAATTGTTATTGGATTGCTCGAAATGACGTCTCCGCGCGCGTCAATTTGCATAAAACACATTAAACGCGGGCGACTCTCGATTCGCGTTGGGTGGCGCTTTAATTTATATATTTACTCTGTTTCGTGATCCAAATAAATCCCGTGGACAGACGCAGAGCATCTCTTTCTTTTCGCACTCGTCCCTGCTTGGTTTTGTCTCGGCTGAATGATTAATGAGCGTTTTTCTTTCTTTTGTTTCAGGTGAGTTGCGTTTGATCTACCTACACTGCAGCGCATTAAATTATGAATAATGGCGACCGTTTGTGTGTGTTTGATGAGCAGAGGTTAAGTACGAATTCATTCAAAATTATAGAATAAGACCTCAGCCGTCTAGGTGCGCATTGTTCCCTCTTTTACGAGACAATCGTGGGAGTAATGGGAGGTAATAACCGCCAGAAATATGACTGATCGATGAATTTATTTTTCCTTTTGTTGCGACCAGTATTATTATTATTATCATCATTTCTACCATGAGCCGGTAATTTTTGGCCAGCGTTGGAATGAATT